GGGTATGTGCGTGTGTGGTACTTTTGGTGCTGGTAATTATTCGTTTTGAAGAAATCAAACTTTTCTTGACCCCATGGTGGTAAGAATCCGCAGACATGTTCCTTTCACAATGATATGGTGTCGTTAAAACCGGATACCTTAGGAAAGGTTACGCCACTCCTTGTGAACCCAAAGATAATTTCACCCAGATACACTAACCACCAGAAAAAGGTGAATGTTAACACTAAAAACCTGTTAGAATCAAGACCAAGCAGGAGGCTAGCTGACCCGGTTCTCATTGGCGGGTTATTTCGTTTATGGAAAACTTTACTCATACGAGGCGGGGGAGGGATAAACTGCGACCTAGTAAAACCCAATTCAATCGGTGATGTTGATTAAACAATACATGTTTATGTTGGAGGGGCCAGCTAAATTTGAACGCGACAGTCGTAGCGTGCCAAGACTCAAGTGCGCGACAGGAAGTCCCTCATGAACGAACGCCGGATGCAAACGAATGTGAACCAAGTCTTGGCCTGGACTGAATCTGGCAACGAACAAGAAGTTCTCCGTGACGATCTAAAAGAGGAAAGAGATACAAACCGTGAACCAGATAGTCCAGGGATGCCAGGACTCAAATTCAGTGGCAATCTGCTTTGCGTTTTACACAGTCAGTCGTAGACACAATTAGACTTTTTGATTGTCCAGGGTCTCTACCCCGTCCCCAACCCCCGAGTAATGAGACGTACTAGTTATGTTAACATGGGGCACACGAGCAAGTCCCATATGAAAAATCCAAGCTGCGGACGATTTTTGGTAAGCTGAATTTCATCAACAACACCAGGAAAAGAAAGAAGTCAAAATGTTTTTGCAATATGACTTCCTCCGACAGGTATGCTTCTGTCATCTGGTTATCCAGGAAATGAATGATGCAAACTATCCTAATCTATAGATGTGTATTAACAAACCCAACACCATAAATTTTCTCTAGGCCAAACAAAATAGCGTTTCTGATCATCATTGTTCTCATTCAATTATCAAATATCTGTTTTAAATACAGCTCTCCACATAAGTTCACCGTTGTGTCAGACCAAATTCCTAAACTGAGACTACCAAGTACTTGTGTTTAAACATTCCCTCAGAACACATAATGAGAGCATAAACTGACAAACAAGCTCGTTTTCAATGTGTCTTACTCATGCCATTGCAACACAGTGTATAGGACTAGTAACAAACAAGGATTTGCGAGAGAAAGTAAAGGGAAGGTAATCTAAATATTCAACAACTTGAATCATAACTGGTCCCCAATTACCATTTGCTCCAATGTTTTATGATGAATCACTTGTCGGCAATTCGGTTATGGGAGATTGGGTGCCTGCAAAAATTGCTTTGGAGCACACTTAACGGCGGGGGTGGGTGGGTTGTAACTGCTGCGGCTAGAATGCAAAACTGCACATGTCTAAACCGTTCCGTTTCAACTCTATACAGGGGTCGGACCACCTTGGTCACGTTTACTATGTGATTAGCCACGATAAGGTGCAATACGACTGTACTTTTGATTGACTTAATTACTCCACTTCTCAAGTACTTCACAATCAATAAGGTCTTGGAAGTTCGGCAAAATACTCGAACCCAAGTGGACTTTATTTTCATGTTGTTAGATGAAAAATATAAACAGAGAAGCCCATCACAAAGTGAGGCGATATTCTCTGCTCCGCACAATTTTATTCCGTTTGAAGACAAATTTACTGTTTTACCATAGAATCCTTCATGAAAATTCCGTAAACTTGATAATGTTCGTCAAATTGCATTGAATAAAGTCAGCCAAAAGGTCCTTTGAATTACTGTGAAAGAAATATTTGCGAGCACTGCCAGTATCCAATAGAGGTGATCGCATAGGAGACAAACAAAAGCTTATTAGATTTTTAGTCCCGTTCCCAAATAATTCACACGAGGTGAACTCATGTTCAAGGATTGAACGTTTTTGTCCAATTTCAGGATTTGTGTACTGGGTGCAGCACACGGATGGTTTTTCAAATACAATACACGAGTGCATATTGATAAAATTCTCGAAGGATTCGCCGCAAGCTGTCCAAATTTGGAAGCACTAGAAATTCAATGGGATCCGGAGACCATCCGTTTCAGTGATAAAAGTCGAAAGTTTATTGATCGAATCAGGTAAGCAAGCATGAATAGCTTCGATGAAAAATCTATGATCGATCTTTACTTCTTCGGAGAAATAGTAATGCTTAAAAGTACGATCGATTTTGTAGAAGTGCTTTGATAATCTAGTATTATCTTATTATTGTTGTTGTTATCATTATATTAATATTAAAATTATTATATTTCAAGCTTGTAAGCAAAATCGCATATTCCCTAATAGCTCCTTTGATTATTTGCGAACTACGATGTATTGATTTGCGATGATAAACTCTGCATGCGTAAATGTTATTGACATTGATAAAACTAACACCAATATAAGCGACCCAACCCCTGAACTTGAGTAAATTTCTAATTCGAAACCTAGCCCTTAGCCCCAACTACAGGTCAAATCCTACCACTAAACAAAGAGCCCAACTGATAACATAGGTTAAAAATTGTACGCTTGTGTAAAATCGAACTTACTAATCTTAACTTACGTCTGAATGTTTATCATCAATTACAAATGGGCTACTTGCAAGTAGTAAATGTACAGGAATGAAAATAAGTGCGAGATTTCTAGGTGCGCATGTTTTATATCGTGGCAACCTGCAAATATTTCACCGGTTGAACTGCGTTTAAACAAATACCTTTATTGATTAATTTCACAAACCTCTATATCTGCCACACAGAACCCTAAATGATGGTTATTCCTAAAGTTTGTTTCCAGAGAGTCAACACTGTTACAATTCTGACTGATCGTATCATCAAAACAACCACAAGCGAACAAACTGGAGCAAACGCAATCATTGATTGGCATACCTATACGGTGACAAAAAACACCGTTTATTTCGACGAAATACATACCGGAGATCTTCATTTGAAGATATATCAAATGTTGTATCAGCTAACTTTGCGTGATCGATGCACCGCATTCATGTGCTTCACAGGTCATCAGAATAGCTTGATGTCCTAAGTTGTTTGAAATCACCATTGGGATCCTCGGTGATTGCTTCCAAAAGCACTAATTTAGAAATGGTATGATCCATTGTATCCCCTAAAAATGAAGTTCATTTCCTGAATAAGAACCAGATTCACTTAGTAAATTTGTTGTAAATTTCATAGCATGGTCGCTGCCACGGTTAAAGAAAACGAAATTCATTTCCCATAGTGGTGAACTCAGGAGTTACCGTGATTAAAATGACATCCAACGAGAGTTTTACAACAAAGACGCTTCATACGATTGACTTAGCTTTGTCTGCTTGATCTTGTTTCAACCGCATGAACTCTGGGGATTACTTTTGTGTGAATATTGACTGTTTACGCGAACCGACAAGTCTCTTAGTTTCAGTGTGAAGAAAGAATTGATTAGCTTATGCATTCAAAGCGCCCACTATTGGAGAAATTGAGCACTTTCTCATGTTGGGACTTGATCGCTTGTTGAAAAAGGATAACGAATTTAAAAGGGATCAGTCACCGATAATGCAATACCCAATTTATGCAACGCCTGAATTTTCACGTTATAAAAATGTTTCACCGAAAGCGATTTTTGATCTACGAGCCAGGTTGTTGTGGTTTTCATAATGTGACAGGAACAAAATACAAAATCAAAATACCAGCAGGCATCTAAAACCACTTGATAATGGTAGAATTTACACTCACTAAATTTTTTAGGTGATCAACCTGTTCTAAACATACTTACCAATGATTATCTACCGATGGTTTGCTTGTCTCACGGGGTTATTTACACCATTGAATTGGCCGGTGGGTCGGAAGTGCAAGAAAAACAAGTGGTATGATTTTAGCCCGTCTAATTGTGAAGGTTCACTGTTGTTGTGACAAATCCATGTTTCATCAATTCCGGCAAGAGGAAATCAATGCTGATACAAATACAATGTGAGATGGAGGAATGTTCCAAGAAATGACACCAGTATATTGGTGGAAATGTTCGTTTGAAGTGGGCGATGGGTGACAGCCAAAGGCATGTATATGATCCCCGGAAAACATGAAAATCAATATGTGCAATATTGAGATGTGTAAGAAAGTATTTTCAATAATAAAATACCACGTTATTCTTGAGTGATCATAGGTGAGCTAAAATGTACCGACAACCAACCGATGCTTGTTACGTACTCAAACGTAGGCTACTGAGAAACGTAAGATGGCAGCTTTGTGTTTGCTGCATCATTTCACCGTTTCGATTAGATTCTCACCATTCGCCGATACGAGAATCACATTCAAGGGTATCGCTTTCTTTTCAGAGTAGATAACGATAAGTGGATCCTTGTGAAGAGACCGAACTTATATGACCGGGTGTCATGTACAACCCGAGTACTGTGAGCACCTGGATGGAGATTTAACAAAGTGCCATTTTTTCCGATGCCATCTTTCCTGCGTAACCCTTTCAGTTCTCTACTCTCTTTTCTCTTAGAATTTCATTTCACGGTACCATATGAACCAAACAAAAGCAGAAAGGTTATTATTTTCGTTTGACGGACGTTTCTTATTCTCACTGATAGACTTCCGCACTCAAATAGTTGCAAGCTGTATTTGTAACTCATTGTAATCCCCGTTCCCCTTCACCCTCCCTCGACTCCCCAAAATTGTTTTCCGCAGACTGAAGTGCACGCGGCTAAAATCATTAACCCTGAGTGACGGTAAGTACTATGAGATGGTCAAAGGCAATTTCGAACGAGCCGAATGTCCCCGAGTGGTCCGAACTAACACCACATACAACACAAGTATCGTCAGTTTGCTCGAGCGGTATCAAGATCTTCGTTTTAATTGAGTCACACGGATTCCCAGTGGATGGAATGTTATATGGTTTCTCAACTTGCTACTTTGCCGTGAATGTTCGAATTCAGACCGATGGTCAGAAGTACCTGCCGCCTCGATTTCGGAGAACCACACGATTTACATTTGTTAAAAATCGAAACATTCCCAAGTAAATGTGAACAAAATATATTGAGAGAATCGATTTCTTCTTTAGACACCCCTGTTTCAACGAACCAAAGATATCCCAGTGTACTGGGCACTGATTACTTTAGGTCTGTTCTCCTCCAATCCAGTTTTAGTTCGCGCAGCCTTCACACACAAAGAAAGAATCACTTTCAAAATCTATTTCCCTCGGTTTCCGTGTCTGTGACAGATTTGCCGGAGAACAAGGAATGGAACACTTTTTGTGCTCATTAAACGCCACAAATTGAAGAATATCTTAAGTGCAATAGTTGTTTTAACTTATCGCATCTCCTTTTGTACCCGTCGAAGGAGAAAGAATAAGAAATAAACCTCACTGGTCCTTTACTTTCATCCCAACTACTGAGACTCTTTCCCCAAATCGCCAACTTTCTCTGGCTTTCTGGTTTTTCCGCCCCTAGAACATCAATCTACACTCATTTTCGTGCTATTGATAAACTGTTTGCAGTTCACCAGATCACGGTTCACCTATCTAGCGGATAAAGCAACCGGTAAAATTAGAAGAAAATATCCATCTGTTACACGGAGCTCAACACGACGTCTTCAACATGTTACGTGACGTTTACGGAATTTACTGACGCACCTGTTCAAATGTAATCAAATTTCTTTCTCGAAGTTATAAAAGATGGACAATGTGTGTCTACTTTCGATTGCAACCAGTGTATATCTTGTTTTTGAAGTAATTGACCCTGTTTTAATTAAAAATATTGTGATTTTCATTTCTAATTATCAAATAGAGTTAATAGAATGTGATCATTTTGTCCTAACTTTCAGTCCAAATCATCAGTTAGGAAGTTCACTGCACATGTTCTCTAATTTTGACACGCTCGGACAAGCGTAAATGGCTCACGTTACCATCCGGCACTCCCACCCCTCGGCGAATTTCGTAAAAATAAAAATACTGCTCATAAGTAATGAAACATTTCCCCTGGAAAATAAAGGACAGAAATAACTAAAAAATAATCTTATAAATAGTAAACGATATTTAACATGGATACAACTGAGCAGGATGTTGCAACTAAATATCAAAGTCATTTTAAACGTCTGTATAGAAAAACTAAACCACATTCGGCACTGTACTTCATCTAGATGTTCCCATATCACATTTCATACCGACCCCGTGGCGTTTTTCAAGTATCTTTTGATGTGATTCCAAAAGGGCTCAACTTTATTAGTATGAACACGAGGTATGGGGTTGGCGAAACCGTCTGTGTGGTTGACACTATATGTATATAACGTAGGGAACAAAGTGATCCGGTCTGCGAGAGAACTCCTGCATATTCATTGTACGACCACATGCACAAGTAAGTGTTGGAGGCAATAAATGGCGTTCCTGCATATACTCCACATACGCCTCTCCTTGAATTTGTTGTAGCATCCCCTACATTTTAGACCCGTCCAACATGTTTCAAGGTCACAATTTAAAACAAACCGTGTGAAAATGGACTCTCATGTTTCATCAAAGAGAACAATATTTTATATATTAAATTTCTAAAAAAATCTAAAACATTTTACAGTATCCGCTTCTCTAGTGACCCAAAATTAAGCAAACAATTAGGGGGGGGTGCCGGATGGTAACGTGCGCCGAGTAAACTACCATTAGGCAATCAACGACACGACAAATCCAGTGTTTGAATGTATTTGAACGTGTTTGAATTTTCCTCAAAACAGCCCTGTTTTAACCTGATTTATGTAATCAATAAATGGGGAAAAGAGATACCGATCTTTCCAATCGGCAGCGGCGTGGCGGTCCAGAATAGAACATTGTCTGTGTTGTCTGTGACCGATTAATTGACTACTGCCCCATACGAACGAAACTCATTGAATGTCGCCTAATTACTACACGGCGTGTGAATCAGCTGGTTCCGTCCGATAATATAGTTTTAATTGCCACACCAGTTTTTGATAGGTGAGCATGATTACCCAGCCGACACTGATGTAATTGTTTGGTGAACACGACTTGGGTGCATGCAAACATCGCATTTGAACAGGCGGACGAAGAAGGCAGTAGAGGCTTACTCATACCCTGTTCCATAATCGATACGAATTCAAATGCCAAAGGATTCAACAAAATAGCCAGACATTTCTTCCACAAATTCCTCGAATGAGACACTCTCCACAACAGATGTCGTAACACCACATCATTCAAATAGCATTGAACGACAAAGTTCCACCGAACTTTAACTAATCCATTAAAGCCACAACTGATTTTCATTTATTTCCAAATCTTTTCGGTTGTTATTCTGCCGAAAAGACAAATCTTTTTGTTTAAGGGAAGGAGTAGTTCACAAACAGAAGAAACAGCAAGAGAAGCGGGTACCTATGGTTTAATCGGGTTACCCGTAACATTTTCGTTGACCGTTTCGATTAAATCCGTCAAGCCTCGATAGGCCTTTGATACAGTCCAAGAGCTGATATCCCGTGGTTTACTTATTCGCTTATCGAAAGGCACGCGCCCAGGTAGCACTTCATTAGCTAGTAGTACGTTAATAGCCGGCTACAACGAGCTACATAGCAGAAAATCCTGTTTTTAGCATTCCGCCTTGTCTCGTGTCTTAGCCCCTAATAGCCCAATGTTTTCACATGGATTTACTATCTCGCCATGGGCTTCAACACATTTTGCTCACTGATTAGAACGCGCTTATTTCGCGGGATTAAGACACCAAAATAAGAGTTAATTGATGGAATTAGTAATCAAAACCAATCCTTAGACCGAAAACAGTTCCGACAAATGCCTTTTAAAGGTTAATTACTGTTTCATAACGAATGTAGTTGATGAAGCTCATAAGTAGCTCTTTGTAGCCGATGGATGCGCTACGTTGTTATACCTGGGCCATAAGCAAGCACTAATTTACAGGGCATTTACAGTACAGAAAATGACCACAGCCAATCGAGCGTCCAGCATTCCTTCGGTGTTATGCGGTCAAGTACGACACCCACCGCTGGGAAAAGTCGTCCGCAACTTGCTGGCTGAAAAGAGGAAGAAAAGGGAACGATCCCTCACCTCACCTACAAGGCGAGAGATTGTTTTACGTGAGCGTTCATCTTCCAGGCTCTATTTCAATAAATGGGGGAAAAGAAACATGCAAAGCGAAAACATAAAGTTTGAGTGCCCCGCTCCTACTCCTCTAGTTAACCAATGTACATCTAAATTTCAGCGAGTTGTGTTCAGTTATGCTTATGTGCGCATGCATGATTGGTTGCAAGTCACTTGACATGGGGCAATATGAAAATAATAATCCGAGGAGTTATAAGGATTTTGAGTTTCATATGTTGTATCCTTACGTACCGAGGGAAAAATCACTAGGTTCTCATTTCTGTTCAACGTTTTGAGAACAGGAGAGTGCCCTGGGTCTACGTTCTCCCGTGCTATGAGATAGAAATCTGGTTTCATCAGAGGGAATAAGATAGAGGTTCTGTGAACGGATCTGTCGGTTCACGTTAGTTTGCACTGGACTAATAGTGGCCACGGGCTGATAAAGCGTCCAGAATTCTTCTGTGATGTGCTCTCGAATGTGCGTCTACCTCTGCCATTGATTGGTTTCTCTTTCTACTTATGACCAGAGAGAAACGAAGACTTAACTTATCGCCGTGTCGGCGAGAGACTTTTAATGTGAAAGCGTTCCATATTACGCAAAACAAGTAATGCACCTAACATTCTATGTCTGAGTAAATGTTTAACCATCTGGCGTCCGGAGCTCGGGGTTTTAAAGGTAAACGCTACTGGCTTTAATCTAAAAGTCAGAAGGTTCCGTTCCCTATCGTCTACTGGTTTCCGATTTCCGTCCGTCCTAAATTTGAGGCAAACAATTATATCGTGCGAATGAAAAAGACCGGGAGGAAATAGAGCAAACCAAAGTAGATTTGACCAACAAAGTAGACGTACCGGGTTGACCAATGAAACTAATCGACGTTGATGGCCAGTCATTTTAGTTCATATCGCACAGGACGATTCTTGGCTCCCGTCAATCCAGCGTCCAGACTCGTGTGTTGTCAACGATTTTTCTTTGGCTTCCAACACTTCGACATGCAATCTTTCTAAAAAGCAGAATGCTGTGGTGCATTATCACTTCCTTCGTGGTTAGGTTATAGTTGTTATCTAAACACTTACCTCGGGAAAATCCCCTATCCAGCACGCGTCAAGTGCAGTTTTATAAGCATCTACAGTGTTGCTGCTTACAACTTTCAGCGACAACCGGCTCTATAGCGCAATTACCCTGCTGGCGAAAAACCTTGCCTTCAGTTGCAACCTAGAGTGGTTTTGCTGTATACGTAGGTTGTCCCCGCGTGTCTCTATGCGGAATCCAGGAGAACAGGTCGTCAAACCTAAGGCCCGGTATACCATTGACAATCTTAAATGTCTTGATTAGGTCTTCTCTCATCCGCCTCCGTTTGAGAAAGAACATATTTAATTCTCTGAGCCGCTGATTTTGTTGACCAGCTACCCTCCTTGTAGCTGGACGTTGAACCCTCTCCAAGGTATCGATGTCTCTGCGAAAACATGGAGCTCAAGCCTGCACGCAATATTCCAGATGCGGGCGGACGATGCACCTGTGTAGCGTTTCTTCAACCGACAGTTTCGCAACGGCAGTTTTCTTTTCTTACCTCTTGTTTTCTCTAAGCTTCTTGATAGATCCATTCAAGCTGGACGTGATCATCAAATCACGTACCAGAAGTACTTTCACCCTACGCTGGTGACTAACAGCAGGATACGTTCAGTTTCTAACCAGTCCTGTATAACTGAGGACTATCAAGGCATGGTACATAACCATGGAGTACCTATCAGAACCATTAAGGTTCAGAAATCAAGTA